CCACCCCACCCCGCAGACCTGAAGCACTTCCTGCCCCCGCTCCCTGGGAGGCCAAACCACACACTCCCGTCTGCACAGGACGCCCCAGGCCGTGGGAACCAGCCCAGTCCTCCTCTCCCCTCCCCTCCCCTCCCCTCCCCTCCCTTCCCCTCCCCTCCCCTCCCTACTGGGCCCCCCCCCACATAGCCCTGCACTGGGCAGCCAGGGAGACCAAGAAGGTGGGGGAGGGTGACCCTGATCCCCAGGCCTCTGGGTGAATCTGACCCCCAAGTGGCAACCGCCCCTCAAAACGTCTCCCTAGGGGACTTTTGCCCCTTTCGCCCCTAGAAGTGGACGGGTGTGCAGGGGTGAGAGGCCCTTTTGACAGAGGGGAAACTGAGGCCCATAGAAGCTCCGGGCTTGTCCAAGTAGACAGGTGCCCGAGCGAGGAAAGGGGACATGAGCAAGGCCTCCAGGCAGCAGCCAGACGGCTTGCACGTTTTGGGTCCGTGGGGCACCCAGTCTCCCCAGCGCTGGCCCGGCTGTCCTCAGGCTTCTGGCTTCTGGCTTCTGCAGAGGAGTGGGCGGGACCCGGTGGGCCCCAGGACTGTGGAGGGCGGGGGTTCGGGTGCAGGTGGATTGGGCACTGCAAGGGGACAGGGGACAGGAGCAGGCCCAGGGAGCATGGAAACCCCATGGCATGGCACTCTCACTTCTGCCCCCTCCTCACCCTCTTGGACCTGAATGACTGAGGCCTGGGCTCCCCTAGGCCTCCCAAGGGGCCCCTGGGTAAGTGCCAGGTGCTCTGAGGGCTCCTGAAGCCAATCGGGGGGCCTGGAAACCATCATCAGAGAACAGTGACACAGTTGGCAGGGCGTCCAGGGGCAGGGACACCAGATGCAGGTAGAGGGGTGGAACTCAGCTGCCCTAAGGGAGTGTCAGTGTGGCTTCCTGCTGTCCTGGGGCCTGAACTGCCTTAATGCCTGGGCCTGAGCGGGGTGGCCCGAGCGGGGTGGTCCGAGCAGACAGAGGGACCCACTGTGCAGCCTGCTCAGGGCTGAGCCAGCTCCAGGGCCCAGGGCACAGGGCCCAGGGCCCAGGCTTCAGCCCACCTGGAGGGCACAGAGGTCTCAGAAGGCTGGCACCTTCCCAGATGGCCCCACAGATCAGCCTGGTGGGATCACCCTGCCCACTGACTCCAAACTCCAGGACCCAGAGCCGGCTGGGTGACCCCAGTGAAGTCACTTCCCCTCTCTGGGCCTCAGTCCCATCATCTGCAAAAATAAATGATGAACCGATTCCATCCTGAGCCGTCTCTGCTCACATGGCAGCGACGCCCTGGAGCACGGTGTTGAGGAGGATTCTGCAGGTTTCTGGCTCCGTGGAAAGGAGTGCTGGGATTGATTGGTGTTGTCTGTTACGGGTGTAGTCCTACACCTGTCATATACTTGCCATCCCTGCTCCGATCTTGGGGGGAGGGGGGAGCTTTTGGCGTTGGAGCCCCTGTTTCTAAAGATATTAGACCTTCCTCTGAAGAGACCGCAGAGCTAGTGGAGCACTTCCTTATTGGGCTCAGCTTCCCCATGGAGTACTAACTGAGAACCATGTGAGCGAGTTTCATCCTCAATCCGAGGGTCACAGGGCCGGGTCGAGACGCTTCCAGAAGCTCACCATCTGGGGGAGGAGATAGGGGTGGAACCACACAACTAGAAAGCAAGAGCGAACATGCCTGCGTCCTCAGAAGAGAAACACAGTCCCGTGGGAATGGAAAGGAGGCGTGGCCATGAGTTCGCTTGATGGGGATCCGAAGTGGCCTCCTGAAGGCAGTCACCTTTCAGCCTGTCTGCAGGCGGCCGGTGTGAGCTGTCTGGGCTCCCCAAACCCTGGCCACGGAACGCCTGCCTCCAGTTGGATGGGGAGCATTTCCGGGCATTTCCTCGAGGACGTCCGCTCGGGCTGTTCCCACAGGATGCCGCTGAACGTGGTCACTTAGGATGAATGCTGGCCGAGAACCTCCAGGACCAGCGGCTGCCGGGGGGCTTCTCTGGGACTCCTGCTCAAGGCTCACTTCAGACGTGTAAAAAAATGCCTGGGGACAATGTCCCGGAGCACGTGCACAGGTGTCCCCTGGGACCCTCCCCCCAAAATCCGGGCTGCCTTCATTCGTTCACGAAATAAGTGTTCACTGAACATCGACTATGTGCTAGACATTGGATGGTCGGGGGAGGGGGGCTCTCTGATGAGGTGGGGTTGCAACAGAGATGGAGTGAGCCCTCCCGCATCGGGGGGCAGGGGGCACAGCAAGTGCGAAGGCCTTGAGAGGGAACCGTGCTCCGCAGGTTGTAGCAGCAGCAGGGGTGTCTAGAGCAGAGAGGTGGGGGGAGTAGGAGAGGAGGTCACAGAGGCGGGGAGGGCCTGGTCATGCCCGAGAGTTTATGACATCAGGTCATGATCAGTGCTGTGACCAAAACAAGTAAGTTAAGAGCAAAGAGAGAGGTGTGTCTGGAGTCAGGTGGTGGGGAAGGTCTCTGATAAAAAGACATTTATTAGGACAACCGGCCACAGTGGCTCAGTTGCTTGAGCATCATCCCCCAAACCGAGAAGTCACTGGTTGGATTCCTGGTCAGGGCACATCCCTGGGTTGTGGGCTCCATCCCCAGTAGAGGGAGTGCAGGAGGCAGCCGAATGATGTTTCTCTCTCTCCTTTTCTCTTCCTCTCTCTCTAAAACCAACAAAACCTTTTTCTTTTTAATTAAAAGAAGACAGTGGGGCAGAAGCCTGTGTTAAGTGAGGAAGCAGGACATGTGGCTATCTGGGAAGAGCATACTGGGAGAGGGATCCGCAAGTGCAAAGGCCCTGGGGTGGGAATGTGCCTGGCATGTGTGAGGAGCGGCAGGGAGACCAGGGGCGCGGGGGTGGGGGGATAGGGGGTGAGCATGGGGGAAGTGGAGTTCCAGGGGTCAGTACAGCCCCATTTACTCTGAGCAAGGTGGGAACCAGAAGGGATTGAGGGCAGAGGACAAACAGGATCTGATGGGGGTGGGGAACGGGCAGGAAGACCAGCGTGGCTGCGGACCCATTTCTCCCCTGGGGTGGCCAGGCCTGGCTTCTGGTCCGAGCAGATTTCAAGGGGATTTAAAGATTCCTGTGAGCCTTTGCCAGGCGGGGCCCCAAAAGGGCGGGGCAGAGCGTGAAGGGTGGCCCCGCTTCCGGGAGGCCTGCGGGCAGCGGTCTCCTGTCCAGGGCAGGAGGATGTTCTCACTGACTTGGAGGAAGCAGCACATCCCACATCAAAAGGGGGCCCAGGTGGCTCCCACGCTCGGGTGTCGTGGGAACCCTGCTGCCTGGGTTCTCGCAGGGAGCCTGCCGGTCGAGAGGGGCTGGGGGCTGCTCGGGGACTGTCCCCCAGCTCACTGAGAGGTAAATAAAAAACAGCCCCGCCGTCACGCCCCACTCACCACCCCCTTCCCGGGAGCAACGCTGACTTTGGTAACCCAGGGCTCTGTGGTCTTTAAGGGGCGCCAGAAATCGTAAGAAAGCTGAGACCTAAACCTTCCCAGGCCACAGGCTCTGCACGACCAGGGCCAGGAGCTGCCCCCAAGTCTGCCAAGCGGACTCTGCTTGAAGCCAGCTCCCTGATGCCAACTGTGCCTGCCAGGGCCCGGTGACAAGGCAGCATTAGCCAGGCTCCGTCCTCAGCAAGCAGGCTCTGGGGCTGGAGCAGCTTCTTCCCCAGCTGTCCCTGCCCCCGCCCTTCCTGCACCCCTTCCTGGCACAGCCCCCAGGCCCCCCGGGCTGCCCCTGGCTTTCAGAACACACTTCTTTATCAAAATGCACCCATCCAGGGACCACGCCCCTCCACCGCTGAGCACAGAGGTCGGGAAGACGCAGACAACACACTGTGCAGGTCACAGCAGGCTTTCTCACCCAGCTCCTGTAGGTGAGGTGTCATTATCCCCATTTTACAGATAAGGAAACTGAGGCTCACAGAGGCTAAGTGACTTGCCCCAGCTTGTCACGGCAACACATTCATGGTTTCCTCTCCACAATGGAGAGAAGTCACGCCATGATTTAGGGGGCGGAGGTGCAGAGAGGTGAAGCTACTCATCCAAGATGACACAGGGACAGTGGCGATGGGGACAATGATGGTGTTGCTATTAGAGTCTTTCTCAGGTACCGGGGATGGTGCTCGGCCCTTGACGTGTAGAACTTCATTGACTCTTCACAGCGAACAGAAGGAAGGTGCCACACTATCCATGTTACACAGGAAACAGGCTTATGGGCTTAGGAGGAGGAAGAGGAGGAGGCGCTGGGGGCCACCCAGCTGGTCAGTGGTTGACCTGAGATGTGAGAGCAGCTCTGGGTGATTTCCAAAAGTCAGAGCTCTCTGGGGGGAGGGCGAGGAGGACAAGCAGACTGCATTTCCCTAGGGCCTCCTCATTTGAAGAGAGGACAATGCCTACGTCTCAGGACCTGACGGCAGTAGACATTGCAGGGATGCAAAAAATGTTCATTGTCAGATGTCTTTGGAAAACCTGGGTTTGCCATCGCTAACCATATTTCCTGATGCAGGACTTATCAGAACCTTTCATATGCTCATATATGTTGTAAATTTTCCAAGAGGGAGACTTTGAAGTGTTTCCTAACTTACTGGACCCCTGAATCCTTCTTTCCCAAAACCTTTGATGGGGATTAGGCCTCATAGAGCAAACTGTGAGAGAGGCGGGAATGACCAAGTCGCTGATGGGTGGGTTTCAGGCACAGTGGCCAGTGAAAGGGAGCCGTGGGAACCCAGGTGCTCTGACCAGGGAGGAGGCCGGCTGAAGAAGGGGAGAGTCGGTACCAAGTGTAGGGGTCCTGGCCACACCCACCTTGTCATAGAAGGGTGTGGCAGTAGGCATGGAGTCCCCTGGGATCATTCTGGATGACTGGGACAGGCACAAAGCGGTCACGCTGTGCCCAGGGTCCCTGGACCCTCTGGTGTGGGGACTGCAGCCTCTTCTCTTCTCTTCCCTCCTCAGGGTCCCCGCGCTCCCGGTGAAGAACTTGAATGGGACCGGCCCAGTCCACCCGGCCCTGGCAGGTGAGATCCAGCCCACGAGGAAGAGAGGAAGGGGGCCCACCTGTTGGCTTCTTGACTCCACCCCTTAATGAGCTCGTGGGCGGGGCCCCGAGGACACACCCTCTCTCATGACATCAGGGTGGGCGGGGCCCGCAGAAGGCATTCTTCTTGGCTTCAACCTGGGGTGGGGTTGAGGGGGGAGGCCCAGGGCACACCCCGCTCATCCACCTGAGAACCCCAAGATCCCTGGATGCCAGCCGGTAGGCGGAGTCTGAGAGAGAGGCCCCCTGCGTACACCCCATAACAGAAGGGTGGGAAGTGCGGGGTGGGCGGGGCCTGGGTGGCGCCCCGCCCCTGACTGCCCAGGCCACGCCCCCAGGGATGACCGGGATCCTGCTTTGCGCCGCCGGGCTGCCCGTGTGCCTGACCCGGGCACCCAAACCTATCCTGCACCCGCCGCCGGTGAGCAAGAGCGACGTGAAGCCCGTGCCCGGTGTGCCTGGGGTGTGCCGCAAGACCAAGAAGAAGCACCTCAAGAAAAGTATGCCCCCGTCCCCCCACCCCTGAACTGAACCCCACTAACCCTGACCACAATCCCTCTGACGGTCAGCTCCAATTTGCTCCTGGACTGACGACCTCACCTCCATCTCCTGATCTCAATTCCGTTCCCCCGACCCCTTCCGCACGAACTCCAAGTACATCCACCTGCAGCAACCCCTGACCTTTCACCCCTGCCAACCCCACCTCTCCAACCCCTGACTCCATCCCGAGCTGCGGCCTGGGGTAGACTCGGGGCGCCCTCCAGCCCACCCCCTTGTGTCCTTGCAGGTAAGAACCCTGAAGATGTGGTTCGAAGGTACATGCAGAAGGTGAAGAACCCACCTGATGAGGTGAGCGCCAGGGGCCGAGGGGACCCGGGCTGAGGGCGGCCTTGCCTGCAGAGAAGAGAGCCCTCTCTCCCCCTCCTCTCCCCTCCCCTCCCCTCCCCTCCCCTCCCCTCCCCCCATACGAATTCCTCCTGGTTCTGTTACAGTCCCTCCTCCCAGTTTGTGGGTTTGCCTTTTCACTCTTCACAATGTCCTTCGATAAACAGAAAGCTGAGTGTAATAGAATCACAGGTGTCAATCTTTTGGCGATTGACAGTTTTTGTATCTTATTTTCACCCATAGTTTTTAGGTTTTGCTGCTGACAGTCCTTTAATCTCTTTGGGGGGGTAAAGGGGGGGAACCACATATCTGAATTTGGTAGATGGGCGTCCTCTCCCTGTGATAGTTGGGTGCCCGAGAAGGGACGCCCTGCCCTGCCCAGCCCTCAGCCTGCCCCCTGTGCCCGCAGGACTGCACCATCTGCATGGAGCGGCTGGTCACGGCGTCCGGCTACGAGGGCGTGCTGCGGCGCAAGGGTGTGCGGCCGGAGCTGGTGGGCCGCCTGGGCCGCTGCGGCCACATGTACCACCTGCTGTGCCTGGTGGCCATGTACTCCAACGGCAACAAGGTGGGCTGGGGGACGGTGCGTGGGGGGCTGGCGAGGGAGCCCCATGGAGCCGGGGCCTCGGGGACCTCACCCAGCCTCCCCTGCTGCAGGACGGCAGCCTGCAGTGCCCCACCTGCAAGGCCATCTACGGGGAGAAGACGGGCACGCAGCCCCCCGGGAAGATGGAGTTCCACCTCATCCCCCACTCGCTGCCTGGCTTCGCGGACACCCAGACCATCCGCATTGTCTATGACATCCCCACAGGCATCCAGGTGAGCCCCCTCGGACCCCTGACGCCAACTCCTCCGACCCCTCCAGAGGCGCCCCCCACTCCTGTCTGTGGTTCCAGCTCTGCTGCTCCTTCCCGCAGGGCCCTGAGCACCCCAACCCAGGCAAGAAGTTCACCGCCAGAGGCTTCCCGCGCCACTGCTATCTGCCCAACAACGAGAAGGGCCGGAAGGTGGGTGTCGTGCAGCTGCAGGGCTGTGGGCCAGGGCCTGCTCTCACACTCCTCCCCACACCAGCAGGGCCCGGGACCACCTAGTGTGCGTCTAGCCCTGCCAGGCATTGCTGAGGTCAAGGTCTTAGCTCCATGTTACGGATAAAGAAACAGCCTCAGAGAGGGCAAGTAACTTGCCCAAGGCCACACAGCCAGTCAGTGGTGGAGCCTGTATTTGAACCCAAGCAGTCCCGGCTTTTCACCACCACATTATAGGTGTTGTGTCTGCTTCTACTTATTGTTTTTCGAGAGAAGCCAGAAATGCTGATTTTCATGTGAAATCTGCAGGTTTTTAAATATTGCCAACAAAGTCACATAGTGTATGGGGTCCAAACCAAGCTGCAGAGGGCCATCGCTTTGAGACCCTCCCTTCACCCCAGAAGAAACAGGCAGATAACTTGGAACGAGTCCGTCCAGGGAAGGAAACTGCCAAGCCCAGCCGCCACAGGGCCTCCTGCTGGGCTCAGGGGGCCTCATGGAGCCACAGTGTGGCAGGGAGGGGAGGCGGGGCTGGAGGGGGCCATGGGCGGGGCTACCTGTGACCCCGCCCACCGCCCGGCTCTGCAGGTGTTGCGACTGCTCATCACCGCCTGGGAGCGGAGGCTCATCTTCACCATCGGCACGTCCAACACCACGGGCGAGTCGGACACCGTGGTGTGGAACGAGATCCACCACAAGACCGAGTTTGGATCCAACCTCACGGGCCACGGCTACCCGGACGCGAGCTACCTAGACAACGTGCTGGCCGAGCTCACCGCCCAGGGCGTGTCGGAGGCCACGGCCAAAGCCTGAGGCCCCAGGCTGCCCACCGTCCCTCCTGCTTGGCCCCTGGCCCAGCACAGGCCTCCCTCCACCAGGTCTGTCCTCCTGGTGGCCCAGGTTCAGGGCTGGGGAGGAGCCTGTGGAAGAAGCCAGAAGCGCTCTGGACATTTGGCTGGTGGCCACTGGGAATGATGGGAAGACGGCAGGCCGGCCAGCTCCGACTCTGGGAGGGTCGCAGGGAGAGCACCAGAGACCACAGCGACCTCCCTCCCACCCCTCACACTAACAGTGTCCTGTTGAACACATGCACGCACACCCACGTGCCTCTACTTGCCCCCAGTCTGGGGGGGAAGAGACAGAAGACCCCTGTGACACTCCATGTGGATCCCGTGTGTGTCTGTCACCTCCGTTCGTACAAGCTTGTCTGCCAGCAGGAGGATTCAGGACAAGCACGTAGGGACCTGCTGGGGCTCCTGGGGGAGACGGGGACCCTTGGGGAGCTCCGCTGACCCCGTCTGTGTCACCATCTCTGCCCTGAGCAGTTCTGCAAAGGGGCCGGCCAGAGAGAGGGGGCCTAGAGGTATCATTTGTGCTCCTGTCTCCTCACCCTCTGGGACCCTGACCTCCTCCTCCTCCTCCTCCCCTCCCATCCCCAGGCCTATGTCTGTCCCGGATAAAGGCGCTGTTCTCCTTTCCTCCCACCCCATCCTCTCCACCAAGTCGTTCGTTTCCAATGTCGAGACCCAAAGGCCGGGGCTTCTGGCTTCGGGAGCGAGGCGAGGAGGCCTGGCTTAAGCCAGTGGGTCTGAAAAAGCAGACTGGAGAGCAGAGCGTCCATTTCCCTCACTTGGAAGTGGGCAGTGGGGTGGCTGATGGTCTCCACCAACCAGGGGCCTGTTGCCCAGGCAACTCACCAGCTCCGCCTCTGTTGATTGGCTGCCACGGTGGAAGTCAGCCAAGAATTAAAGGGACGCCAGTGATCGCTCTTTTGAAAACCTACCAGTCCCACTGTGGGTGGAGAAATAAACGGTCTTTCTCCTCCTCGCCCTGTCTTTTCCTGCCAAGGAAGGAGGGCGGGGGGCAGCTCTGTTCCTGGGGACCTTGCAACAAATGACGACCCTAGGACCGTTGCCCCTCCTGGCCTTGGGCAGCTGGCGAGGCAGGGTCCCCATAATTCTCTTGTCCGGGGGCAGAGGGTGTGATGGTGGCAGAGGCAGACCTACCCAAGAGGACAGAGGTTAAGGTTTGTGCTCGGGCAGGGGCACCAAGCAATGCACACAGTGCTCCCTGTACAATTACTAGGAATGAGGGGCTTGGCTGGGAGCTCAGCGCCTCTGGGAAAGTATGGGAGACGCATGACCAGCCCCTTGGTACCTCCGAACCCCAGTCTCTGCCCTGGAGGAGGAGGGCCAGGTTCTGTCTACCGAGGGAAGGGCCAATCCCAGGATCTGCAACAAGCTTCGGATCGGCGTTTGCAACAGCCAGGAATGCCCAGGTGGCTGTTGCGGGTGCTGCGGCTCCAAGCGACCCCTGCTGGCCACACATGGGATAGCGCCGCATCCTGCTCCACCTCCCAATTCAGGTAGGTTCTGTCCCACCCTATAGTCACACAAAACCAGAGTCCTTGGAGGCCCTACCAGGTCTGCCCGTTGGGTGTTTCCAAACATTTTATCCTCTGGGATTCATTCTTCAACAGGCTCTCACCCCAAACTCTAATAGGTAAAATCGCCCAGCCCCGTGATCCTCAAATCCCATGATCCTCCAGGTCACCTGAGCAGCTTGTTAAGAATCCTGACTCCTCCCACCCACAGTCCTTCAGGTTGTGATGCAGTAGATCCCGGTGCGGCCCAGGGAGCTGCATTTCTAGCAGACACCCCGCGGGGGAGGGGAGGCTTGGGGCCACAGTCTGAGAAACTCCTCCCTGGTTCCTGAGCTATTTCTAAGTCACTCCCTCCTCGTTTTATACAGGGTAAACTGAGGCTCAAGGGGGGAAAGGAGCCTGGCTGAAGGTGTCCCAGACTCCCAGGGTCTGTCCTGGGCCTTGCACATTGCGCTCCCAGCCTGTTCTTCCTGAGGCACCTGATTCTGGAAGCTTGTGGTTAGGACCGTCCGCCCAGGGCACGGCTCAGGAGGATCAGTGCGGGTACAGTGATTGGCAGACATGAAAACAGGAAGGGCTGAGCCTGTTTAGTGCTTGCCTAGGGCAACAAGGCCACATGGGCATGAGGGATTCAGGTACAGCTGTATCCAGCAGCCTCAGTGGGGTGGGTAGAGGCCGGTCCCGTGAAGCAGAGACCTCAGGCTGAGCCAAATGAGTCAGGTTCCTTATCCCAGCCACTCCAGTCTGCCTCGACCCAGTCAACTCAGAGAGTGAGACTCCTTCAGTGCGAGGCTGGCCCCCTGCCTCCACGCGCCAGGCTTTGGGCTCAGAGCATGTGGGACTGGGAGGTCTCCGGAAGCCTCCAAGCCTCAGTATCGACGAAGAAGGTACAGGACAGTCGCAAGGAGACTCCTGGGCCAGGGTGCACTGAAACGGGCCCAGTGGCTCCTCAGTCTTCTCCCAGGCTGCCTGTGGCATTTCCTCAGGGCCCGCGGGGACCCGAGACCGCCTTCCTCTGCTCCTGCCGCTGGAACTCCTCATGGGCTCGATCCAGGTCCTCCAGCACCTCCAGCAGGCGGGCCGCTGCTTCTCTCTGCCCAGCCAGGGCATCGGGACAGGCCCCTGGGAGGGAGGCAAGGGGGCCCCAGGGGCTTAGCCAGGGCAGGGCAGGCTGCCAGAGCCCACACCCAGTGGCTCTCTCGGGCTCCAGATTTGCCTTGTGCCATGAGAATCCTTAAAGGGACTAGAACCCACACACACAGCCTTGGGCCTGCTGGTGGATACAGGAGAGGGGCTTGGAGGTCTCGGGGATGTACTCGCAGGTTGTGGGAGGTGTCAGAGCGGGCCAAGGAAAGGGACCGCCTTAACTTGACCCTTACCTTCCATGGCCCCGGAGTCCTCCATGTCTGCCTCCGGACTTGAATCCATGTTGAAATCCTCCAGGAATTTCATCCTAGAAATTGAGAGGGAGAAAGACAAGGCTGAGCCCTGCCTTAGGGATTCTCCGCTGGTTGCAGGAGACGTTCAGGTTCTCACTAACCAGCACCACCCGCATCCTCATCACAGCCAGGGTCTATAGCAGCGGTTCTCAACCTGTGGGTCGCGACCCCTTTGGCGGTCGAATGACCTTTCACAGGGCTCGCCTAAGACCATCCTGCATATCAGATATTTACATGACGATTCATAACAGTAGCAACATTACAGTTATGAAGTAGCAACGAAAATAATTTTATGGTTGGTTACAACATGAGGAACTGTATTTAAAGGGCCAGGAGGTTGAGAACCACTGGTCTATAGAGTCCCAGACACTGTTCTCGGCCCTTCGATGGGTTAACTTATTCAATTACCACAAAAAAGGATCTGAGGTAGGTGCTTCCTATTACCTCCGTCTACTGATGATCACTGAGGCACAGAGAGGTAAATAACCTGCCTAAGGCTGCACAGCATCACAATAGTTACCATTTATCGAAAGCTATCTATATGTGGCCCGGCAGCTACACAGGGCTCTACCTGTATTACCTCATTTGATCCTCAGGACAACCCCATGAGGTGGGTACTGTTACTAACCCTGGTTTCCAAAAGAGGAAACTAAGGTACAGAGAAGGTAAGCAACTTGCCCAAGACCACACAGCCAGCTTGTGGCCAGGCCAGGATTTGAACCCACACAGGCCAGCTTCAGCACCCACTCTGCAATGAGTTGGAAGAAATCATTGTCGCTGGATAACAATGACCCTGAGACCAGGAAGGGGAAGGGGCACAGCCACGGTCTCTGGAGCCCCAGGTACTAGAAGATGCTAAGATCCAGGGATGAGGGTCCACCTGAGGGTGCTTCCCCACCCTCACCTTGAGCTTGACCCCCCCCTCCGCCCCACCCTCAGCTGATGCACACGGAAAGAATGACTAGATGAGTAGGGGAGGCCTCAGTGGGCACCTGGCCCAGCTGGTCCTGGGGGTGAAGTGGGATGGGGGGGGCACCCACCTGAGCTGGTCCCGCCCCAGGAGCAGCTGCCGATACACCATCTGCGTCTCAGCATCGGGATCCAGGGGGTCACTCCAGTCTCCCAGGGTGACGGCCGAGTGTGTGTGGCTGCAACCAGCAGCTAAGGGAACACAGCGTCATCCATAACCCCTCTCATCCCCCCGCCCCCCATTAGCCCCCAAGGCAGGCTGTCAGCAAGCCCTGCCCCTTCCGCCTCTACTTCAAGCCCCTCTGCCTCCACCCTCGCCCAGCAGAGCACTGGCCTCACCTCTCTCCAGCCTCCCACAGTCTAGGCACCAGCCACACGGAGCCTTTTAACCTTCCTGCCCTCTCTGCCTCCAGTCCAGGCCTTTGCTCGCCTGCAACATCCTTCCTTACCCCATCCCTGAGCCCAGCTTCGCTGCTCCACTCCTACTCTTCTCAGGTCACATCTAAGCAGCACCTCCTCCAGAAAGCCCTCCTTGATCTCCTGCCCGTCCTCTGAAGTCCCCAAAAGCCCCGTCTTGGCACTTAGGAAGCGGTATTACAAGTGTCTGGTTATTCGCTTGTCTTCCCTGAGAAGAGGCCTGACGCCTGGTGCGAAGTGGGTGCTTACAGGGATTCATACCCCACATCTAATCCTCCCCAAACCGTAGGAAGGAGGCCTGTTATCACCCGCATTCCACCCTTGAGGAGCCTGATGTTGCTCAGCGAGCCCAGACAGGCTGAATGGGCAGGGTGGGGGAGGGCGGAGCCTGAGCCCGCCCTGCCCCCTCACCTGAGAGCTCCGCCTGGAGGCAGCAGGTCCAGCGCGCGCCGCGGAAGGCACCGGGGTGGCAGGTGGCCAGCTTGTCCGGGTTGGGGGCGCTGGCCTTGCGCAGGGCCGACAGCCATTGGTTGAGGTCGTTCACGTTCTGCAGGGAGTGGGGGGTCAGGGGTGAGGTGGGACTCAAGGGGCGCCCCGCGCCCCCCAGCCTGGCGGCGGCTCACTTTGCACTGGAGGTAGGTGGTGTGCAGCGTCCCCGAGCCGTCCTGCGTCACCACCTGCATCACGTGCGGCAGCTGGAAGGCGCCCTCGTCCACACGCTCCACGGCGCGGATGTGCGACACGGGGATGGAGGAGCGCATCTGGGAGACAGGATTGTGCTGCAGGGAGGGCTGGGAGCTGGGGGCGAAGGGGCTGGAAGCTGGGGGGGGGGGCTGGGAGCTGAGGGTGGGCTGGGAGCTGGGGGGTGGGCAGGGCGGGGACAGCTTCCCTCTGGGTGTGTGCACCACGTGGTGTCCCCGGAGGTGGGGACATTCAACCTCGTGTGTCTGTGATCTGTGCGCATCCCCACTCAGCCGTTCCATGATGCCCGACAGTGTAGGGCCTACACTCTAAGTGACTTCTCTGGGCATCAGTTTCCACCATCACTGCCATCCTCCTCCTCCTCCCCCCTGACATGGCACTCGGGCTGTGGTTCTCAGCACTTCACATTTACCAACTTGTTCCCTCATCCCAACACACCCCTGCGGCTGGGCCCATTATTCTCCCCATTGTGCAGATGCGGAAACTGAGGCCCAAGAGGTCATTCACCGGGTGGAGCCAGAATTGGAAGCCAGGGAGGTGAACTCTAGAATCTACGCTCTGCTGACCAAGCAGACACACCAAGTCGGCACCCTCTCCGCTGTTCGCTGTTGTTCATGTTGTGTACACAGACGTGGGTGGACCCAGTGTGTGTGCGTGTCTGTTTGTGCTGGACGGGAATGGCAGCCCCATGGGAACGGGGATTCTGTCTTGTTTGCTGCTGTATGCCCCGTCCACACCTAGCACACCGCCCCGTGCGGAGTAGGAGCTCAATGAACATTTAACGAATGAATGGGAGTGAACGAATGCCTGATGTGTGTGCCCAGCAGCCGGGCATGGGCCTCTCCGTGAGCATTTGACGTGAGTGTCCACGGTAGTGGGCAGAGACCTGGCTGGGAACAGCGGAGGGTGCTTAAGCATCGTCATTGTCGCCTGTCCACATCGGGGAGGGTACGCGTGGGGGGGGGGTGCACCTTCTGAAGCGCGTTTGCTGGGGAGTGTGTAGGCGTAGGCCTGTCCCTGCCTGGGCCCTCACACCTGGGCCCAAGGGTGTGAGCAGAGCCTGGCCTGAGAATTTGAATTTGCCAAGTTGCTATGGGGCCTTGGGCAAGTCCTCGGGTGCAAAGGCCGCTCGCTCTGTGAGGGGCCACCGCTGGCAGCGCCTCCGTGGTGGACGGCAGGCCCACCTGCCAGTCGGGACTCTTGGAGTAGGAGAGGGTCTCGCCGCTGAGCCAGAAGTAGCGCTTCTTGAAGGCAAAGCGTGTGGCCAGGCTGCCGGGCTCCTCCTTGCGCTTCAGCAGGTAGCCTTCTCGGACAGTCACGGAGGGCGGGACCAGGGCCCTGGCCGGGCCCCCAGCCTCTGGGAAAAGGGGAGGGGACAGTGAACCTTCCCATCCAGGCTCCGCGTGGCCAGGGCCTGGGGATGAGCATGATTCTCTGTTCCCGTGTAGTCCACTCCCTCCATAGGGAAGGGTGTCCCTGATGGCTGGGCGGGGAGCACAGACCGGCCTTGATTCCTCTCTACCGAGGGACCTGCAGGTAGTGTCGCAGGCAGCCAGCAGGGGGAGCCATGCCATACGGAGTCAGTCCAGGGAGTGCCTGAGATCAAGCCACTCGCTGGGAGCCCAACACAGGCTCCTCCCCAGCACCACAGGGACCCCTCCAGCCACACGGGGCTCCACATTTCAACAGGTTGCTCCTATGCGACTTCGACCCAACCCTCTCGTGACCTGGGCCCCACACTGTGATGTGGACTCAACCCCAACTCTGCTTAAAACTGCCCTGCGGCTCCATTTCACTCCAAGTCAAAGCCAAAATCCTTCCCACTGCCTACAAAGCCCCACGCAACCTGGCCCCTCACCCCTCCTTTGCTCCCCC